AGTTTTCCATTCATCTCCTTCTTTCATTCTAATTTGATGATAACCACTTTTCAAATCTATCTTAGAAAAGATGCAAGAACCACGTAATTCATCAAGCATATCATCTAATCTAGGAATAGGGTGACGATACTTCATTGTGATGTTGTTGATTGCTCTACAATCAACACACATGCGCCAAGAACCATCCTTCTTGGGCACAAGGAGCACTGGTACATCACATGGACTCAAGCTTTCTCGGATATGACCTTTTTCCATGAGTTCTTCTACTTGTCTTTGCAGTTCCTTGGTCTCAACCGGATTAGTCCTATAGGCTGGCCTGTTTGGAAGTGTAGATCCTGGAACAAAGTCTATCTGATGCTCAATCCCATGCAAAGGAGGTAAGCCTATGGGATTGTCTTCTGGAAACACATCATCAAACTCCTGCAAAAGAGAAACCATCTCACTCAGATACACCGGTGTAAGCTCTGTTAATTTCAAAAGAGTTTCTTTAAAGACAAGTAAGAGAATAGATTGTTTTGAGTAGAGAGTTCTTTTGACATCACCCATTTTTGCATAGAAGTTTTGTTGCTTGGTTCCGGATGGCTTAAGGTCAATCTCCTTCTTCTTTTGGAGTTGCATCTGATCTTGTTGAACTTCTTTAGGTGTCAAAGGTACTAGAGTGGTCTTGCGGCCCTTGAACTCAAAAGAATGCTTGTTGGTGAAACCATCATGGACAACTCGGCGATCAGATTGCCAAGGCCTCCCAAGAAATATATGTCCAGCTTCCATTGGTAGAACATCACACAATACCTCATCTTCATATCTTCCTATAGCCAAGGGTAAAAGAACCTGCTTCGAAACCCTCATGGTGCCCTCTTCACTAAGCCATTGAAGCCGGTATGATTTTGGATGTTTCTGAACTTTTAAACCCAACTTCTTGACCATAGGCTCACTTGCAACATTCACACAACTTCCTCCATCAACTACGAGGCTGCAAACCTTTCCTTGGACCAAACACCTTGTGTAGAATAGGTTCTCACGTTGCTCAAGCTCCTCAGTCTTTGTCTGTAGGTTTAGAAGTCTCCTTGCTACCATAAGTCTTCCTTGAACCGGTGCTTCTTCATACTCTCCTTCAGATTCTTCATGTTCAGAATCATTTTCTTCATCTTCTGAAACAAACTCACCATTTTCAAGAAGGATCATGATCCTTTTGTTGGTGCACTCATTAGCATAATGACCTCGGCCTTGACACTTAAAACATTTGACATCACGAGCTCTAGAACTCACAACCTCAGTCTTGCTTTTATCCTTTCCAAAGATGTTGTTGGGTTTGGACTCCTCTTTCTGATAAGGCTTGCTCTCCTTCTGATAGGGTTTAGACTCTTTAGAATAGCCTAGCTTCTCTTCTTTGGGTCCTTGAAACCGGTTAGAACCATAGCTGGTTCTTAAGTGCCCCTTTCTCTTAAGTTGTTGTTCCACCAGAATTGCCTTATGTAGCATCTCTTCTAGCTCCACATAATGTTGCATCTCAACATTATCTTGCACCTCACGGTTAAGTCCTCCTAGAAACCGTGCCATAGTAGCTTCTCTATCCTCAGAAATACTAGCTCTCAACAGCAGCATCTCCATCTCTTGGTAGTACTCTTCAACAGTTTTGGAACCTTGTGTGAGCTTTCTCAACCTTTGGTGAAGATCACGGTGGTAGTGGCTAGGAACAAACCTCTTGCGCATGATTGACTTCATCTCTTGCCAACTCTCAACCGGGTACTCTTGGTTGCGTTTTCTACTAATAACAAGTTGATCCCACCAACTCAAAGCATAGTCATAGAACTCAGTGGCAGCAACTTGAATCTTCTTAGCCTCAGTGTAGTGTTGACAATCAAAGACTATGTCAATCTTATGTTCCCATTCCAAGTAAGCATCAGGATCAGACTTGCCATGGAAAGGAGGTAGCTTGATCTTCAAACCAGCAAGTTCATCTCTCCTATACCCACGGTCTTCACGGCCACGTCTAGCTCTTCTACTGCTATGGCTAGACCCGGACCTGTGCCTTTCTCTATCCCTTTCATAATAGTTATCAGTTTCTTGAGAACCCGCATGCTCTTGATGATTTGGAGTAGGTCTTTCTCTTCTATGTTTACGGCTGTGTCCTTGGCCAGTAGCTTGCCTTATCTCTTGTCTCAGCTCATCACGGATCTCCTTGAGACTATCCTTCATCATCACACTCATGGTTTCTATCATCGTTTTGTTGAGTTGAGCAGTCATGGCTTCCAAAAGCAACTTGTTTTTCCTAACTAGCTCAGCTTCTTCATCAGTTGCATCTCCCATTGGTACCTAGATCAAACAAAATACTAGAACAAGTAAGTAGTTCAAAGAAAGCAAAAGAAGAGATCAAACAAGGATGATCAATTAAAAAGCACAACGCGGCAACAATACTTGATTCACAAACAACATAATTCAAATCGACAACTTTAAAAATCTTATGGAAAGTTTCGATCAGAGACAACAAACAGAGATTAGATATTCACAAGACAACAAAATCAACACAAACTCACAAGATCTAACAATCCAAAACAGATTATCAAACCCGTAAACAAAAGAACCAAGAACAACAATAGATCGATCAATAAAAAGGATGATAAGTGATCGGATCTATAACAACAACAGTTGGATCTATAAGAGAACAATCCGATCTGCAATGAAAACACTTAAGAAAGATCAGATCACAAGAGAAACAACAACAAGAAACAAAACGATCAATGGTTAAAAGAGAAGGTCAAGAGTTTGATCGAAAACTTAGAGAGAATCGTGTACTTCCCTAACCAAAGTTGCTTTGATACCACATAATACACTCCTAGGATGCTTCTTTGGTTGATGGGATGATAGATCCTTGCAAGAACGAATCAGAGACTCAAGTTCTTCAAGGCTGTGGATCGTATGGTGACACAAGAGGGATGAGAGATCTCTTGATACTCCTAGATGACTAGATCGGATATTACACACCGAGTTAGACACCCTTAAGCTCTGGATATTACACACCAGAAGATCACTTGAGAGACTAGAGCAGCCGCAAAAGATGAACAAGAAAGAGTTGATAAAAAAGATTGCATAAACTCTTAGGGTTCTCTTACACACATATATATAGGGAGTTAAAGGAACACGCTCCTTTAGACTCGAGAATGTGGAATAATAAAAACCATAGTCTTAAAACATATCATAAAATAAAATAGATAAGTCTTCAGCTAGTCTTGGACTGAGATAGCACTTAGGTGATGTGAAAGACAAGTCATGGCCTCGTTAAAAACCTTCCTCCAGTAAAACCTCGTGGGACAAAACCAAGAGCAAGGAAAAGAGCACACACAAAGTGTCTNAAGTCTTCAGCTAGTCTTGGACTGAGATAGCACTTAGGTGATGTGAAAGACAAGTCATGGCCTCGTTAAAAACCTTCCTCCAGTAAAACCTCGTGGGACAAAACCAAGAGCAAGGAAAAGAGCACACACAAAGTGTCTTGCCTAAACACTAACTCAGTTTGATGGGGAGATAGCTTGAATGGTGTTCAAGACATCTCTGGCCATCAAACCTTGTCCAAAACTTCCTTCTTGTTGAGCTTCTTAGCTCTAGCTCGGGTCATGGGGCCTTCAGGAATGGTCAGGACTTCCACATCAGCTTGCTTCTCCATAGTGTCATCAGGTGGATCTCCTAGAGTCTTATCATCTTCATTGGTAGGCTGGTCCATGATCACATCAGAAAATGATGGATGTTATATTCGATGATGGCAATAAAGATACAATCGAAGACTGGCTTGTAGAGCTTGTGGAAGAAATAAGATAGTGACGTTAATTTTCTGCTTGTGGCCCAAGTTCCAAGAGTAAGAGATCTACATGATGATGCCGACCAATAACCATGGGTCCAACCTGTTTTGTTTTTGTTCTACATAAATTGAGCTTATTAGAGCATCTCCAATGGTTAATTTCATTTTTTTCTTCAAAATTTGAAGTTCTTTAAAAAAATGAAACAACATGTTCTCCAATGGTTTGCTTCATTTTTTTCTTCAAAAGAGAATATTCTAAGTATATTCTATTATCAATTTGTTATTAATTATAAACTTATCCTTATACTTTTCAAATTTTTCTAGTTTTACTCATCTACTTTGTTTTAACATTAATCTAACACAATTATTGTTTATTATAAGTTGAAAATTATTATATCATACAATTATTGTACATAAAATAAATAAATAAAAATTTAAATTTTATAAAGAAACACTTATTTCTGTGATTAATCAAAGTAATTTTAAATGAAAAATGATCTTATTTTAGTCAAAATTCTTCTGAATCGGACATACAATTCTCAAAACCTACAAATTGCAGGTTTTTCGTTATTAACATTTAGTTATATGAAAGTAATAATAAAATTGCGACACTATTTGGATGACATTAACACATTATTTATTTAAGTATGAAATAAGAATAAGTTAAAGTTAAGGATTAGTTTATAAATGAAAAAAGTCAATCTTCAAGAAATGAAGAATTGAGCAGTAGTTCTTCAAATTTGAAGAAACACTGTTCAATTCTTCAAAATTTAAAGAAATGAAGAAAAAATGAAGTACCATTAGAATAGAAAATGAAGTAAAAAGTGGAAAATGAAGCACCATTGGAGATGCTTTTATAGTCTAGTTTAATCCGCTTCCTAGTATATGGTTTATCAACAACCGGCCCATTATGTTTTGGATACTGACCGCCCATGAAACATCTCCACCCATTTGGTATAATCAGTGGCAGAAGCTTTGAGAAATTCAGATTGAAATACATTCATGTTACCTCTAAGTTTGTTTTTCTCACTTCCAATAGCTCTTCAAAACAGTAATCCAAATTGGAAACGTTGCACTTGAAACATATTTTACTAATTACTGTCTTTGGTCGCCATCACTAATCAGTACCACTAGCAAAATGAATTTCACAATCACGTCCAAGATGATGGATTGCGAAAAAGGCTTTGAATCAATGTTCTCTAATTCAGATTGTGGCTCAAGGAATCATAATTAAAGAAAATCTCATGATCGTTAATATTACAAACACGTAATAAACAAAACAAATTGCCTCTCACTTTAACCACCGGAGATCACTTGTAGAACAAGGCGACACTTTTCCAGCGAGCCCATCACCGTAACAACAAGAGTAATCCGATTCATGTTCCCCCCAAAGACAACCATTATAAGCACTCTTCAAACTCGGACTCCTCAAAATCCCCTCCTCCGCATAACACAACCGTTTCTTCGCCGTGATAACCGGTCTCCGCCGTGGCGTGCTCTGAGTCCTTGCCTTAGCCTTAGCTGACTCAGTCGCACTCATATAATTTGGCTGAACCATCGAAGTGGGCGAAGAACAAGGAATCCTCGGACTAGCTGATCTTACCCCAAAGGTTCTAGTGGCTCTGCAAGATGGTGGTGTCGCTGGATACAATCTATGAGGTGTTGTGGTGGCTATGTTTGTATCCATTTCAAGAGTCTTTATTGGATCTCTTGTTGTGGAACTGGTGACTGTGTTGTCCCATTGCTTTGTAGCCATCCATCGATCGAGCCACTTGGTTCTCTCTAGAAGCTCCATATCGTTGCCGATGGATTGATTACGATAAGAGCGACTCCGAATCTTTCACGTAACGACGACAAAAACAAAAACGTTGTTAGTACGTACTTTGTTATGAAAACATATTAAAATTTTAAAATATATATTTTATTTTAAATGAACAAATTAGTGCGATTCCACATGAGAAAACTATACATAACCCCTAAAACTCAAATTTATGACTGCAAAGTCCATAAAATTAACGACAAAAGAATATGAAGTTAGCACAAATATTTAGATGCAATGTCACATTTATTTTGTAGATTTTGGTTACACGGATTTAGTTTTCGGAATTGTAACATTTTAATTCATGTTCTTGGAAAAATAAAAAAGTCCATTAAAAATTATCAAACTCATATAACTACGAAGATATTTAACTTCCTTCAAAAATCCAAAATGTTTGATAAAATATTTCAATAGTTAATATTTTAAATACCTGATTAGAGAGAGCAAGTGCATGTGCTTTCTCTCGTTCAATAGCAATCTCTAGGCTCTTCTGCAAAATCGATTGTGATTCTTCTTGGTTAACAACAAATTCATTGGTGCATCGACTCATGTCCCTCGACTGCAAAACCAGAAAACATAGTCTAAGCAATGTAACAGCAATTAAAGTTTCTTCAGAAGGAAAAAAAAACAATTATAATACACTAACCAGAGATCTACGGCTACGAATGTCTTGAAGATATGTTTTAGTGTCCCAAAAACCGTTAGATTCAGCAAACATTGAGTTACGTCTTGCTTCGATATCATAACAATTTGATGATGGTGATGATAAGACTCTTGAACGTTGTTGTTGATGATGATTAAGCACTTGATCTTGAACTCGAACCAACGCCTTGATGCGTCTTAAAGTGTGTTTCGCTTGGTTTCTAACATTATGACCTCTCACCAATGCTTGTAGCTTCACTATCCCTTTTAGTGCCCCAAATGCTCGTTTTGCCTATTAAAAGAAGAAAATTTTAAACACTAATATCGAATAATAGCTAGTATGTTAAATAATTTACGCAATATTTTGACATTTAAATTTAAGAAGGAGATTCTGTATAAAGTTTCGAATAAATAAAAATACACAAATATAATTTCGTTTATTTTTTCTGATAAAAATACACATAATTTCGTTTCTTTTACTTACGAGGTAGCCTCTGAAAGCTGTTTGAATAATAATGGCAGCCCAATGACGTCTTATAAAACCTGGAGTTGCCGTTAGCTTAACGACCTCCGCGACCACTTCATCCACATCGGAGACAACTACCGCCGTTTTGTCCTTCTCCTCCGTCTCAGCCGTGTCGGTTACAAAGTTAGTGGTTTCTACTTTGGTCTTTCGAAAAATCCATCCTTTCTTCTCCTTTTTCAACTAAAGTTTGAAACTTTCTGGGTAAATCTCAAGACCCATGAATGTAAAATATTATATTAGTAACAGAGAGATGAGTTAAGACCTTATTATTATCAGTTTCTTTATGGTGACTCTTCTTGTCGGAATCCTTAGACGGTGACCAGAGAATCTTCTTTACCGCTGTGAACCACGACGTCCCGTTCTTCTTAGCCATCTGAAATTAACGAACAAAAGAGAGGAAGAAAGATGGACTTAGTTATTTTAAGTGAAGTTGATGTTGCTCATGTAACTAACTACTACACCACGGGACTGAGGAAGACTGCATAAATGTAAATATATATAGCACGACAGAGACCATAAATGCCTTTTTATTTATCTTCTCACAAATTGAATTTAATTAGTTACAAAATTATAACAGAGTGATAAAGTAATATATTTATTTGCTTTATCAACCATACAATACAGTATTATATTAAAACTCACTCAATCTATCATGTGCATGATTTTTTATTACATGTAAAATAGTTTTTTCGGCAAGAACCTGGAGAAAAAGTAGAAAAGTATTAACAGCTGTTGATTTTTTTTGTTTGAATCATAATAACACTGTTGATAATTCAATAATGATTATGATAAAACAAATATAACTAAATTAATAATGGAGTAAAATATTTGTGATAGTGATTATATAACAAACGAGTGGGCATCAGAAAAGTTGCAGCTTTTATGTTTAAGTACATTGACACAGTTACACTTACATACATGTTACATGGGATTATTAAATATAAACCATTAAATTGTATATAGTAAATGAAGCTTTACGGTCCAAGATGACATTGTAACTATTTTCAAGAAGAAGATAGCCACAGACTTTAATGCCTCGATGAACCAAGAATCCAAAGTTCCCAAATTATGCGAATGCGACCATATTAAAATCAAGGCGTGCAAATAAAGGACGACAAGACCTCGAAGACTGCAAAACAATGGTTTTAGCCAAAATACAACTTTGAAACTGAGATTCTCTATATTTTCTTGGAAGAGTATATAACATCGACAAACAGGTCCCATGAGTGAGTTTGCTTGGACTAGTCAAACCCTCCATGTCTGAAGATTGTGGGAGTGTAATGTTTAGGCGCAATCCTTCTGTTTGCGATCCCATGTTTTGTTTACATAAAACATTTTTTTTTATGCTTATTTATGTACTCAAAAAAACTTCTCATCCAGTTATGACAATGAAAAGGCTTGGAAAGCCAATTTATTATCATACTTATGCAGACATAAAACCAAGAAGAACTTGACCAAAAAAAAAAGAAAAAAAAACAAGAAGAACATCGTTGAGTAATTTAAGTTTAGTTGGGGTTAAAATTATTAATTTGGAAAATTTTAACCAATTATAAAGATTATTCTCCTAATGAGGAATATTTTTTGTCGCTTCTTTAGAAGGAATTAGTAGGTGGGATTTAGCATGAATATTGTCAAGTAGAGAACATATACTAGACTGTAAGATGAGCCCATGTGAGTTAGTTGTCGATAAATTTGATAAAGTGAACAATAAATAAGTTTATCAATAGTTTAGCTATATTGATATTATTTGTTCAATTATTACTGACATTTGTTTGATTAGTACGATTAGGGTACAATAATCCTAGGGTAATAAAGTCATTAAACATTGACCACATGTTAGGACTCATATTGGGACCTCCTGAATAAGGCCAGAGCCAATACTGCATTGTCCTACCGTCTGCACCTATCAATATTTGTTGTTGTTTTCTTCATAACTACTTTCTAATTGAAGATACTAGTGTTTAAAAAAAAATTGACGACCCTAACATCATTGTGTGTAAAAATTATGAGAGAGGGCTTGTATACCACTAATGGTGCATCAACAATGGTTTAATTGGGGTTAGGTTATACTCCTCTCCATCTCGCTGTTATTAGACACATCAAATTTATTGATAATTGTTAGTAGAATCGAAGAAGATGAAGAAAGTGAAAGTGATCTTCTATTATTTAGTATTGTTGTGTTATGGAAAACAAAGGTGATGTACATTGTCAATTATGCGTTCAAAAGAGCACATTATTCTCAAGGTCCAATTAACACTTACTTTTGCCCTTCATAACTATAAAGCACAAGAGATTACATTATTCTCAAAGCCTAGTTCATATTTGTGATGTTTTCTATATATATATAGATGTTAAACTTCAATCCTCGATCTCTTTCTTCTCTCTTAAATCACTCTCTCGTGTGAGCACAAAGTAAACAAAGAAATACACAACGATTGTTTACCCAGTTCACCACTCCAAAGCGGAGAATTTGCTATACTCACTGGGGCGACTAGCTTGCGACAATATACTAAACTTTAGTGACTCTAAAAACTTGAACAACCATTGAACACAAAATGTTTCTACCCTCTCCTCTCATTACAACTCTCTCAGTTCATATCTCAATCACCAAGAGACTGAGAGTTATATACACACACAAGATAACATACATGTCAACATCCTGAGCTACTCCAATAGAGCTAGAAATAACTGAGCACCCAGCTGAACCAACTAACAACTCGAACTCTCTGAATCCTTAAAAATCTTCGTATCCATGAGTATAAGTGTATACAACTTGTATGCATTCTTTAGTTCTCCACCTTAGACAAGATGTTCTTTATCACAATAAACTTAGTGATGACTTCATATCTAACCTCCTCTCTTACCAGAAAACTTCAAAACTGTTAACCGATTTCACCGAGCCTTTAACCAGGCTCCACCTTTTCTTCTTCAATCTTTATCAACACGCAACATCTTCTTGACACTTAGATTTTTGATATCTGCAAAAAGTTTCAAGAAATCATCTACGTTTTGAGAAATCGTTCTTGAATCTTCCATTCTGAATGAGTAAACCTTGAGCTGAGCATGGACTCGATTTGATAACGTCTTCTCCATGTAGAGTCTATCCAGTAGCTCCAAACTTGAGCTGATGTCGTACACTTATCTGGATTCCTCAGAACATGATCTCCTTCACTCATGAAGATGGGGTTCATCGCCTTTTCACCGGCTCCAATATTGCTGCATCGAACCTTCTTCTTTTCTTTCTATTTGTTATCATCACCATTGATATCAGTCTCCGATACTTACTTTCTTGGAGTGAGCACATCCTATAATACTTGAACACTGAGGTTTGCTAGCAGGTGGTTCTTCCAGATCCGGAAATCTCCAATGCCATCAAACATCGTAATCCCGACTTCGAGCTTGTTAGTCATCATCTTAAAATTGATTGATTTACTCGTCTCTGATAGGATTGAACCTCTTAGCCAGTGGTACCTGCTCTGATACCACTCTGATAAACTTCAATCCTCAATCTCTCTCAATCTCTATTTAATAGATCTCTCGTGTGAGCAAGGAGTAAACAAAGAAAGATACAATGATTGCTTACTCGATGTTCATCACACTCCTCCAAGGCGGAGAAGCTCTATTGGGGCCGATTAGATTAAGGCAATACACTAAACTCCAATGAATCTGAAAGCTTTAGCCACCGTTGGGTACAAAGTGTTTCTACTCTCTCCTCTCGTTACAACTCTCTCTCTCAGCTCTTATCTCAATCATAGAGACACTGAGAGTTATATCCACACGCAAGATAACATACACGTGTCAACATCCAAAGCTACTCCAATTGAACAAGAAATTATCAAGCACCCAGTTGAACTAAATGACAACTCGAACCCTCTAAATTCTTAAGAGTCTCGTATCATGAGTATAAGTGTATACATCTTATCTACAATCTTCAGTAGCCCATGATTTAATAACATAAACTTTTATAAAAGAATATGAAAGATGTGTTATGAAAATTTGGATCTTGTCCAAAAATACTTTAATATCATGCGTGCATGCGGTATTTTGTGACCATAACTAACACCCAGTACACAACCACAATAGGACAAGAAGAGACCATAGTTATTTTCATATTGTCTAACCAATTAATCAACCAAGTTGATTTGTTGTTTAACTCATGACTCATTTGAAATTCTCTTCGAATATAAGTTCTAACGTTGATTAGAAAACAATATAAGTGCATAAATGTGTGGATATTAGTTTTGTTCGATTTTTTTGGTATTTGAATATTTTAGATGTAAAAATATAAAGATATAGAGATCGTTTGGTGTGGATCAACTTTGTTTGACTAATATTTTTTGTTTTTACTTCGGTTATTCGATTCCAGTTACAACCACTTACAGCATCCACATTTGAGGTTCAAAGGCGGATCATGGCCTCGAGTTCTTAGGCCCGATAGAAAAATGGGTTAATTTCTGTGAACCGGGCCTTGGTGATGAACCCGCGAGAGGGGAGTTCAAGCCACGCGTCGTCTTCTCACTGGCTTCTCGATTCGGCAGATGGTCCGAAAAAATAAGGGTTTTCGTGTTACTTCTCTCATTTCTCTCCTCTTTCCAAAACCAATTTTTTTTCTCTGCGGCGATTGCTCGTGTGACGCCGAATCTCTTCCTTTTTCTCGATCTAATAAACGACAGAGTTTCTTCTCGACGGCCAGAGGTTAGTATCGAGTAGAGTGACGGTCAAATAAAGTTGATTTTGTGTCTCGATAGCGATTTGTGCGATTCTAAATCGATTTGGGGATTTCGAATTAGGGTTTACAATCGATATGGGGGTTTTGTTTAAGGTTTGTATATCGTCTAGTTGGTTTGATTTAGGGTTTTCATTACCGTCTTCCTTGTTAGATTTACGGTTTGTTTATAGTCGATCTGAAATCGAGTTTGCATATTTGTAGTGATGGATCCCGCGGAAGAGAGAAGACATTCTAAGAAGCAAAAAAAGAAGAGTACAACATGTTAGGCTTCGTGGCTGATTCTCAATTCGGGATTCCTGGAACCTGTCCATGTGGAGGGAGAATTATCAACGAGGTTCAGAGGAAGGAGCCGTATGATACTTTACCTGGAAAGCGTTTCTTCACATGTGTGAACTACGAGGTAGAATTTTTAGTCTGAAACTTTTTTTTTTCCATTGATGCGTTTTTGATGTATGTGTATGTTGTAATCAAGGATGACGGATTCCATTATCGTCATCCTTGGGTCATTGGTGTCCAGGAGGAGACTGAAACTCTGATGAAGCGGATGGACGAGGCTGAGAAGTTGATCAAAGGAGTGTTTAATCTAAAAATATAGATTCTGAAACTGGAGATTTGTGTACTTTCATTTGTTTTTTATATTTGCAAAAGTTATAGTTATGTTACTAATACTTTTTTATTTATGTTTCCATGTCCAGGAACAGGTGAAAACCCTA